TAATAAAGGAGCTTGTTTGGTCAGAATTGGTTTTGGTGGTATAGTAAACTAGTATACTATGGTTCTGTAAGGTCTACGACGAGGGAATAAAGGCTGGAAATACTTCAGGCTTCTAATAGTACTCAGTACTCTTACTCATTAACAGCTGGAGAATATCTATAAAATGATTACGTAGAGGTATGAATATGGCCCCTTATTATAGACTGCTACTGGGTGAGAGCTGAGGCAACATTGCCTGTGCCGCTGAAGCCGTGGGTCATGAAAAGCACGGGGCCTCGGCCAGTGTGCTAGCTGATTGAGCATTTTAGGGCATATTACCATTACTTTGGGATACTTAGGTTTTGGGGGTGTTCATTTTTGTTTTGAAACTTCTTTTAAAAATCGAAATTTCAAAATTAAGGAAACGAGGGTACACCAAGTAATGGTAAGCTTGTATGGGCTTGAGGGTTTAGGGTCTAGGGTTAAGTGGCGTCTCTCAACTGGCGGATTTCTTAGGGATGCCAGGTATACGTAGGCATTGTGAGGGGGTTGGGGGAGCGGGTTGGGGGGTTTCATCAGGGATCCTATCAAAATCATGTGCCCGACTCTCATATCTCTGGTGCATCGCGGCAATCAGTAACGGTCTTGGGGATGGCCACACACAAGCCCAAATTCAAGCCCCAAACAGCGGCTTCCCAAAAATTAGGGGTACCATTTCGGGTGCCCCATAGTAAGAATTGTAAGAAGATGGGGGTCTATATCAATATTGGGGCCCCATTCATTGTCAAAAACATATTTTGGGCCCTATATTGGGAAAGTACTTGTGTTCCCTAAGTCCCTTGAAGCCCAAAACCCTAACTATATCCCCTGAACCCTAAACCCTAAACCCTACACCCTATCCCTAAGTCCCTGGAAGCCCTAAACAGCTCCGACCTGCTCCACCGGTGTCCTCGTAGTAGATCTTGACGCCATCGTCGCGCGTCGCGAATGGCATGGCTCGAAACTACACTTTGGGGTGGCTAGCAAAAAAGTTGGGGGGAGGTTCCCTTTCAAGGGCTCCTATGAGAAGTAGGATTTACTGCCTAAGGCTTCCAAAAATTACGAATCCTTTGGTGGCAGTCCACAAAACGAGGAATAAAGTACCTGCTTGAGGCCAGGGCTGTTCCATGGACTGCGTTGCTGATGATTGACGCTTGCCAGACAGGCCATGGACACGGCAACGACCCAGCACGAGATGTTCCCAAGGGTTTAAGGCTTAGGGCTTACGGCTTAGGAATTGAAAGGGTATGGAAACTGAGGAAACTCCTGTGTTTTTGGGGCTATGGAAAACATACTACAAGGATCTGTTGCACCCTCAACACCCCGTGGCTAATCAGAATAGGAGTATGGCCCTCGAACATTGTAACTGTAGTCTCCTTAGACCTATGATAGAGATAACAGTTCTAATACTTCCGTAGGGTTACACTTTAATAAGAAGTATAAATAATTCCTAAGGAGACTAGAACTACCAACTGAGTTACCAAGGAATTCCTTGCACCCTTACGGAACACATGCAAATAGGGTTGAGGGTGAAATATCGGAACTCATGCACATAGGTTGAAATACATACATATATGTATACATTTATGTATATGACACTGAAGATAAGCAGCTTTCTGGAAATTTGGGAGTGGGCGTCCCCATAGTCAGGATGACACCAAGCTTTGGAAACCCAATACTGGGTGCTTGGGAGAAATTTGAAATGAAATCTCCACCCTCTTCAGTCTCCTAAGCGAAAGCTCGACTTGCTGGTAGTGCACTCAACCCAGGAAGGCTTTGCTTTGAAGTAATTAGAAGGCCAGGCCAGTAAATTTTCAAACGCAGCATGTTTTCCCCGTGTATCTTCGAATCGTCAGACTGTCGATCTTCTGGCTATGTCGTAGGCCGTAGGCCACAGGAAGTCGCAGAAACATCCTACTTCTGGCGCATTATATCAACGCGTCGCTAGCAAAAACTACGACATAGGCATGGTTTGGCTTTATGAAATAACTTTTGACTATTGCCCTACAACCCACACTAAATGCCAAACGGAGTCTCGAGAAGCAAGATTCTGAAGATGCAGGGAACAGGCTACACGCAACAATCTGGGTAAGTTAAAATAAGTTCAATCCCAATGATAAAGCCATGTTGGTACTATTCCCTAAATAAAACACCATTTAGGGTAAGGTCGGGTGAGGTCGCTTTAAATTGCCCAGGAGAATGAACGCACGCATGTCAATAAAACACGCAAGTCAGCTGCAGCAGCGAAGACCGTTCTTCGTCCAAGTTTCCAACGGGTGGCTTGCAAGTGCTATGTGACTGGAAAACGGCCATCCTGACAGGTACCCATATGTCTCCACATCCGCACTGACAATAAACCCGTAGTAATAGTAACCATGAAACTACAATCACAAGTATCTGCATGTGAACCTAGACAATAATCTTGATTGGTAAACGTAGAAAACGCATAACTGGTAATGCCCTCGCCTAATATCAAAACTCCCTACACCCTGAGTTCACGCTAAAGATGCCCATTGCCGTATAAAACTTACTCGGAGACTCTGCGGAGGGGGCATCTAAATTATACGGGGAAAGCATGAATTTACAGCATCTGTTCAACAGATTATGGCAGAAGCAGCCGCAATAACAATATGGTGCTGAATCCATATATATATATGTGTGTGTGTGTTGTGCTTCCTCAGTTTAGCCAAAACCTAAACCCTAAACCCGGAGGCTGAACCCTACCCAGAAGCCTCAACTCCAAACCCCCCAGCCTAAACCCCACAAGCTCTCTCTCTCACATGCTCAGGCAGACCCTAAATCATGAAACTATGAAACCCTGTGCCCGAAATGGCAAATCCTGCACTATCGCCAGAAGCCTGTACCCTACATACACCTAAATATCCCTATCCCTAGGCTCTAAACCCTAATCCCGAAACCCTAAACTGTAAACCCAAGTCCCTAAACCCTCCCTAAACCCTAAACCCTATGTAAATCCCTCGGCCCCTGAAACCACTTCGCTGCCTCGGAGAGCTCTCGTAGCTGGAAGTCTGCCCAGCTGGCATAGCCGAGCCTCAGCTCAGCTTTAAAGGAGATAACAGGGGTTATATATAGCTGGAACCCCCACCCAGTAATAGTCACTATAGGGGATAATAGGGATTATATTAGGGTCCTCTCATATTCCTATTATATCACTATTGCAGGGTGGGGGGGTCCTCCTAACTTATATAGGGCTTATATAGGGACAATGGAAAGAAAATAGAAACTACTATTTCTTGTCAGGGTTGTAGGGTTTTTTTAAAGGGGTTATTGGAATTATTTAGGGTTTAAGGCTTAAAGTTTTTTATCTCATTGGGGTAATATTAGGGTTATATTGGGATAATGGGAAATGTTGTTTTTTAGGGTTTAGGGTTCTGGTTCAAAGTTGAGAGGCTTTAGGGTTTAGGGTTGAGATAGTTCAGTGTTGTGAGAGTTTAGGGTTGAGAGAGTTTAGGCTTAGGGATATTTAGGATACCCCTCAATATTTTCATGGATTTGTGAGAATGATCCTTGAAAGAGGTATGTAGGGAGCGTTTAGGGATATATAGGACCGCCTTAAAGGTCCTACAAGGGAGCTATAGGGATAAAGAGGGCTTGTTTACGGAAACCCCTAAACCCCTTCCCCCTAAACCCTAAACCCTTTTGCCCTAAACGCTAAACCCTAAACCCCAAATAGTAGACCCTAAAGTCTCTGCTAGGGGACGGCTAGGGCGTCAGGTCCTACATAAGGAAACCTTCTAGCTTCTAGAGTATATGGCAGTTTCCGGGGTACCCTCGTGGGGATCCCCATAATAGGATTATAGTATATTGGGGTCTATATTAGTGTTGCCTAATTTTGGGAAACTACCATACGCTTAGAAAACACCGTGAACATGAGGTTCCTCTCAATTTGGCATAGCACCTTCCGTATCAATTTCTAAGTAGAACCGATAATCCCATTAAACCCCGTATAAGGCCACTCTGCACCTTTAGCACGGGCTGTGTCCTTTAGCTCGGCAATCCGCTGTACACTACGCAAATCCCAAGATATCCAAGACATAATTCCTGGATTAGCTATTTGTGAACATGGGGTCACCAAATGGACAGCTGCAAAACCGGCTAGCTGATGCATATGAGCTACAGTCTAAACTCCGAGCATCCCCCTGAGCAATCCCTCTGAGCAACCCCTATAGTAATCCCCTATATAATCCCTTATAAAACTCCCCTTTAAAGAGTTTAGACCCTAAACCCTAAACCCTATACATCCCCATAGAACACTATATAATTCCCTATATAACCCTCCCCCTTTGAGGAGTTTAGACTATGGCTCATATCTGGCTCAATTTCGCAGATGCTGACAATGCTTCTTCAGCTCTGCCGTATAGCTTTGGATGTCAGAGTGGGCCGGCATGCGATCATAGTCCAAACTCTGTAAAGGGGTTTATATAGGGGATGCTATCCTGTTTAGGGTTTAAGGTAAGGTCTAAACTCCTGAAAGGGCTTACAGAGGGGACTACTAAAGGGGCGATTAAGGGGGACGCTAGGAGTTTAGAGTTTAGTCCATACATGACTAGTCTACTAGGCTCTACATAGGACACCAACAAGGTGTCCAGAAATCTCCTTCTTTCATCGCGCGGAATGCGCACGTTACTCTTCTTACTTGTCTTCAGTTCCTCAGCTTACCATGTTTACTCTCATGCTTGTCAATCCCCTACTCTCGACTCTTCCGTTTAGGCTCGTCACTACCCTCTACTAGTACTCCTCATACTTGGGGATTCACGTCTGTTTTGAGGCAGGGTATTCAGACCCTAGCATATAACAAGAAACCCAGTTGCCATTTGAGCTATAAACTCCTAGTATCCCCTGTGTAGCCCTCTATAAGCCCTTTCAGGAATGTAGACCCTAAACCCTAGATCCTAGATAAATTGCTCATTTGATTGTCCAAGTCAGACCTACTGCGATCTTTGCATTTTCCTCCGCGCACATCATGCCCAGGGGGGTGCGGGCACGTCGTCTTCATCAGAGGCTACCTGTAGTGCTCAATGGCAGCAATGTAGTAACGATAATAGGAATAGTAATAATCATAATAGTAATACTAATCGTAGTAGCGCTGCTACGCAGAATGATGCAGAAAAAGCACTCATAACAATAATACCAGCACTCCCGTCTTAGGCTGACCAAGCAGCAAGGCCTTTAAGCTCTGCAATTCTGGAAAATGTTGGGTTTAGAGTTTAGGACTTGGAAAGTCTCATGCGGTTCTCTATGGTTCTTTCATGAACTTTAGATCTGCACGCCAAGTTTGATTGCTAGTAGTTGTGACATCCATACTATGACGAATATGGGCTTCTTGAAGCTCTACTATACCCACGCAGAACTTTCTCACTCTGAATTTAGTCATCTTTAACAAAGACACAAAACTTCTAGACGTCCCTTGCTTTCACCGTAAACCCTACAACAACCCTAAGCCCAAAATCCTAAACTCTAAACCCTAAAACTCCACATCTGCCTGAACCCTACCATATCCCTAAACCACATATCCCTAAACGCTAAGCCTGAGCCCTAAACCCGACGACAGCCAGCCACCCTAACCCTAAACCGCCCTCATCTCTGGCCTCGCTAAGAGCGTCGTTCCCAGCGTCGCCGTCCCGCGGACTGACGACGTCATGGATCAGCTCAAACACCTCTGTGGCTTGCATTTAGGTTCGAGGGTTTAGGGCTTAGGTTTGGGGACCTTGCAAGACATGTGTTTTACGGCTATGTCGGGCGTATGTAGGGATTAGGTGATATGTTTCTCTGCAAACCTGATCAAAGCTACCCATTCTTGTCTTCAAGCAAGACAAAAAAAAAAAGGGGACGCTCACAGCCCAGCGCTTAGTGAAGTAACAGATGGGTACCCCCCCCGGTAAGGCTCATAGACGGCTTGTATAAGGGTCCCGCATGATTACTACCCACCTGAAGGTTCCCGTAGCTTACAGGAAGTTAGAAGAGTGTGGGTATACAGTAGACAGAATGAGTGCCCCCCCTTTTTTTAGGCGGAAGGGACTCTAGAGGACGCCCTTACTCCTGCCTTCTGAGGGTTCCCCCTAAAGAATAAACCCTTAAACTGGCAACTTACTTGAAAGAACCCAGCTCAAAGGGATTGACGGTCAGGGCTGTCATAGTCATGGGGCAATGTCAAGCCACCATAATGATGACAACAGTTACCTCCGGCAAACTTACACTGCCAGTCACCAAACCTTGCCGGGACATCTCAGTTCAGTGATAGTTCATTGACGTGGTGTGCTGAATTCATTTCAGAAAGAGCGGTGCGTACATAGGTTTTAGGTCCATGCCTCAGAGCTGATCCGCGAGCTTCAACCCGCAGACTCTACTTACCGGGAGTTTGTGGGGAAGAAGGGAATATATATATATATGTATATAGATATAGACAGCAATAGCAGGAGGGGAGCTACCATGTAGGGAGCTTACGTGCGCCTTATATACCCAATATGTACCCCCATTGGAAACTCCCCTCCTGTAGTTGGCCCTTAAATACATTATAGAAGGGTTCTTCAGACATGGGGCCAATATAGGGATTCCATAGGGATAATGTAGGGATTATATAGGGATTGTATTCCTGTATTCCCTACTAACCAGCAATAGCGTTCAATGTGGCGCGTAATGTCCGCGAACTGTAAACCCCTAATCCCTGAACCCTAGGTTACTCAACAATTAACCTACTGGCGGCTAGTAGGGAATGAGGAAAAATGGCATATAGGGATTATATAGGGATTATGTTCCCATCTTCCCTACGAACCACCAGTATGCGAGCCTGACGCTCAGCCAAGTTGCTCTAGGCGAGGCAGGTTCCATCCTAAAGGCGTGGACAAGCAGCGCGTAGATGCCCTGGGCTCTGGATCTGAACGTGACCCAGAGGGTCCACATATACAACCACTAGGGACACCTATAGTATGGTATTTTGGGGCCTAAGGCCCTAATAGTTGTATATATGGACCTTCTGGGTTAGGTATCATAGTAATATTGGGGTTTGGGGTAACCCCTAAACCCTAAACCCTAAGGTATCATGGTCATTCTGGTCTTTGGGGTAACCCCTAAACCCAAAACCCTAAAGTATCTCTTGTAGGGGTTGAGGAGCTCAGGGCTGGAGGTTAGGGCCTCATGGGTTAGCTCAGAGTCCCCCTTAAGTAGATAGAATACCGGGCTTAGGGTTTAGGGTTTAGGATTATAATCCCCGTTAAGTAGATAGAAAATGGGGTATATGGGGATCTTATTATTTTATACCCAAAGACATATTCTATCTACTTAAGGGGGACTTTAGAGTTTTGGGCTTGCGGTTCACCGTCTGGAGTTTCAGGGTCTGGGCTTAGGGCCTCGGAAGGCTAGTCCGCCTTGTGTTGAGGGGCATAAGTTTGGCAACGAAGGGTTTACTGGTTTTTGGGCTTTAAAAACCTTTGCATTCCACATCAAAACTGAGAATCATACCCAACAAAGACCCAGTTCAGGATTCACGGCATCTGTTTTCTCACTTGAGGATACAAGGATCATACAACAGGGCCTTGGAAGGACATCAAGATATTCCGGGCAGTTGAAGGATTTGGAATCATACTTCCTAAGCGGATGGGAGTTCTATGGCATTCTTCCATGCAGGCTTTTAATTCTATGTGGCACCTGGGACCCCTACGAAAGGTTAGGTACCTATACCAGGAGTATAAAGAAATCCCAAAGGATTAAAAAGTCTAAGGTCCAAGCCAGTCCCAAGCAGAATTGAAAGCTGGTATCAACCTCCCCTGAACCCTGACTCACTCACCAACTCAACCTCAACCTCTACTTCCAACCAAACAGACATGAGCTATGGTCTAAACTCCTTAAATTATGAAAGGGGCTCATGTAGGGGATTATTTAAGGTTTGGGGTTCAGGGTTGAGGGTCTAAAACTCGTTAAAAGGGCTTACATAGGGGATTCTGTAAGGGAGTATTAAAGGGGTTACGAAGGGGGATACTAGGAGTTTAGGTTATAGCTCATATCACTTGACACCACGTTCTACAGGGTTCATTTTATGTGTACCAATACCAAAGAGAACGCTGCTTTGGACTCCTAGGTCCTCAACCCCAAATTCTCAAGACCCCAAAACCTTAAAGCTTTACAGCAATACCTCAATGCTCCACCCTCTACTCTGAATCCCTAAAGCCCAAGTCCTAACCCCCCCCTGTCTCTCTCTCTCTCTCTCTCTATATATCTATCTCTCTCTCTCTCTCTTAGATCTTGAACTTGAACCTCAACGCCTAGGCAAGGCACCCACGTTCGCAGCTCCTGGATAGCAATGTAAAGCCATAGCCTGGGTAATGTAATGATTACCAGGTAGCATCTTGAGGTCGATTGGAGTCCCCCTAGGCTGTACTAGGGTTTGGGGAGTTTGGGGTTTAGGGTGTACTTGTACAAGGAATTCAGGACCATGCGCCCTAAACCCTGTTGGTAATTCTTCAGGCTTCTACTGGGTTGCTGTTAAGGAATTTAATTTAAGCTACTATTTTGGGGAAACCCTATTATTTACTTTATATACCAATATGGTGCTAAATCTAAGTTCCTTAACAGCAAACGCGTCTACATTAGATTCAGAGCTCAAGGCTTACGTGGCGGTTTCTGGGGGTCTAAATAAGCCCTCAACCCTGAACCCTAAAACCCTACATAACCCCAATAATGCGGTTTAGGGTTTAGGGCCCCAATATTCTAGTATCCATTTTCTTCCCCATTATCCCAATATTATCACAATATACCTTGAGAGCTAGATCAAGCTAGGGCTACAGGCTTAGGGGCCAGGGTGTAAAGTTGACAACTGTGGTTTTGGGTGTAGGTTGTGCACTTTGCAGGGTTTAGGGTTTAGGGTTTACGGGACAACAATTCTGAATTCACAGATCCTAACATCTTGCAACGCATCAAGGAACTATCTTTGCTTCAAGGAAATGATCTGGGTTGCTGTTAAGGAACTTAAATAAAGTTACCATACTGGGTATATATAGTAAATAATAGGGTTCCCCAATATAGTAACTGAAATAAAATTCCTTGACAGCAACCCAGTAAAGACCTCACACGAATTCTTGCTCCCTTGACGGGACTAATCTTAAAGTCCTTGGAGCTGCTGGCTCATAGCAATAATTTAGGTGGACCCCCCACCCAGTAATAGTGACTTTTAAGGTCCTCTTATATTCCTATTATACCACTATTACAGGGTGGGGGGGTCCTCTTAAGCAATAATGCCAAGCCTGAAGAAATGCCAATTTGGGACCATCTCCTATGTAAACTCTATACAGACCAGCCCATTTGTTGTGAAGCAGTGCTACACTGGGCAAACCCTACTATTCCCTATATATACCCAGTACGGTAGCTCAATTTAAGGCGCATCACCGCAGTTTGCCCTCTCTGTACCTCCCTTCAGTGTCAGTCGCGCCACGCATCCCAAGGAACCACCGTAACCTTCAGGAAGAGCTCCTTGGTGCATCAGGATAAAGTCCCCCTTACGTAGATAGAATATGGCTTTGAGTACAATATGACAAATTTCCCCACATTCCCCCTAAACTCTAAACCCTAAACCCATGATAAGATCTCCATATACCCCACATTCTATCTATTTATGGCGAACTATATGAGGATAAGCTGACAGGCAAGGCAAAGCGTCATGCGTGAACCATCCGCAGAAAAGCAGACCGCCCCGTGAACCACCCAAATTACGACCCGTCAGTCTGAATGCTACAATTTTGAGTGGTGTGCGAACGAGGAGTTTGCACCCGCCTGTTGTTGAGGTGCCACAGACGGACAATAGAAGAGATCTCAAATAGCAGCTCAGGCGCCACAGTCGGTGCAATGATGAAGGCCAGGAAGACCTTACACCGTGGGAGTTCAAGTCTACCATGTGCGGGCAAAAGAACTGAGGATGTTAGGTGTCTGGGTTAAAAAAGGGGGCAAGTCTAAGCAATGGCCTGTTGATGACGACGGAGTTTCTCAAAAGGACAGTTATGTAGTTATGTGGATCTCGCAGGGGGATCCCATATAGTCTCATTAGAATCCCCAAAACATCCTTAACATGCCTCTAGGAAAGCAGCATTCCGCAGACTGAGTTAAAATGAGTGCGGTTTCGGGAAAAGGGATATTCAGACTCTGTTCCTTGGACTGGTACTAGACACAATCCGGGTCTACCGATCCGAAAAAACTTGGAGCATTGGACAAGCTTGTTGAGGGTATGTACAGAGCAAAATTCCAGAAATGATCGGGAACGGTTCACCACTCTCTCCAAGGCCCCTGTGCCATGGTCCATCTTCAGTTGCTGTTATAAGCCCTAAACCTAAACGAAGATTTTCGCAAAGGGCTAAGCCCCCCAACCGCTGCCCTGTACCATTCGCGCGCCATATAGGGGATCTTATAGGATTCAGGGCTTAGGAGTTACGAGTTGCCTGAAATGTCTTATGATTCTGGTTGCCCTGGTTCGACCTCTAGATAGAACTACCCGGAACCTCCAAGGAAGCAAGACTTTCTGGCAACTTAGGATCACTGGTGAAACATATACACGGTTAAAAGAAGGTTCCAATGGGCTTACACAAGGGATCTGCTATAAAACATCCTAAAGCCTCTACCCCGACTCCAGGGCCCTGCGAAGTAGCAGAGGCTCAGGGCTGCGCCCATCTGAAGATGTAGTACGCGCTGAGCTTCCGATACAACTTCCCACTCTCCTGGAGCTTTGGGGTCCAAAAGTTCAGTTCGGGGGCTTTCATGAGAATTGGGCTGGAGTTTAAGGGTTCAAGGCTTGGGGTCTGGACCCTAACTCCCAAATCCTAAGCCCTGGCGTGACTGGGACTAAGGTTTCCCAACGAATGCATGTTAGCCCTCAAATGGCATTTCAAACTCCAGCGGATTTTAACATGAGCCCTTAGCCCGGAACCGTGCAATCTTAAACCCAGGTAAAGAACCTGCCCTTCAGTTTGAAGTTGACTTGGAACTCCCACACAAACACGAAACTTCATAGAGCCGAATGTAGACCCATGATGAATAAACCCCTTCCTTTTAAGGGCCTGGATACTAGGATCCCTATTAGAATCCCTATTAAGGAGGGGGGTGGTTATTCATCAGGGGTCTGGGTCAGAGGCCTTAAGATGTGGAACCCCTAAACCCTAAACCCTAAACCCATGCGGGGTTTACATTACTCCATGTAACAGGAGTGTAGTCTCTGTTGGGCCCCTTGAGGGTTCCATGTCGGCTTGAGGGATGGACCGCTCAGCAACTGTGTGCTGTACAAGCGCCTGGGTAGTCTGAATGTCTATAGTCCCTGTTAAGCAGATAGAATATAAGGGGTTATACAGGGGTTATGTAGGTCTATAGTCCCTGCCAAGCAGATAGAATATAAGGGGTTATACAGGGGTTATGTAGGCATTATGGAAAATAAAATGGAAACTACTATTTAGGGTTTAGGGTATAGGGTATAGTCCCCCTTAAGTGGATAGAATATGAGGTATATGGGGGTCCTCATTATAATTTACCCAAAGCCATATTCCATCTACTTAGGGGGGACGATAGGTAGGAGAAGTACGTAGACATGCTCTCATCCTGCCATGCACCCTAAATCCTAAACCATGAACCGCAAAGAACCTAGCTTAAGACCTCTGTGGGTCTATGCCCTATCACTTGTGCCTCACTTTCAGGCAGGGGCCCTAAGAGTGGTACTGCGGTTTAGAATTTTAGGGTCTGGAGTAGTAGCCGCATGCCAGTTGCAGCTGCACTAGACTAAGGACCCTGCATCCTAATCAAGACCCATGATTAATAAACCCCCTCCTTTTAAAGGGCCTTAATAATAGGATCCTTATTATAATCGCTATAAAGGGGGGTTATCAATGAGGGGTCTGGGTTACACTCTAAGGCGTAATTCGCAAAAAGTCTTAAGGATGTGTGGCTGGAAGATGGATAGTCTCCCATATCCATCTCACACCACTGCATAGTGGATGGTCTCATGGAGACCTTGGGCGTACTCCTCACCTCTCAGCTAACTACACACCTGCAGATAGAAACCCCCTTAACCCTTAACCTAAACCCTACAGGCTGGACTCTTATCCTTATAAACCCTAACCTTTTACTATCTTCTGGACTCCAAACCATGCCGTGCTTCGCCTCTTGAATTTACCACCTCCTTCTTCGTTAGGAGGCATGGCGTGGAGCTTGTGGTGCTCAAGGTACAGTTCTTGGAAATGCTATGAGGGGAATCCGGAACCCAAATCCATGAAAGAGGGATGCCGAAGCTGTCGTAATCATAGTGTCATAGGGTCCACATTGTTCAGAAGGGCCTTACCAAAATCCCCTCATTGGCAGAACCCTGCGCCCTGAATCCTGGACCCAGGGCCCCAAACCCCAGATCCAAAACCTTCACATCTATGTACATACCCCACTGTTACTCCAGCTCTAATGCAGGGGCCTCATTTCTAGAATGGGTTTGAGAGTATCTTCTGCTATGGTCATACAAGAATTGAAGGACGCTATTGATAAATAACGAGGCTTCTACAACTACAATCCGCAGAAAGCCTCACATAATCTTCGCAACATTTCACGTTCCGTTTTACTTTCCATGTATTGGAACTGGTTCAGGCTTCTTTTGTGCAACCATGCATTGTATAAAAACCTCAGCTATTACGAAAGAGCTTAAACCTTAAACTGCAACTTTTTGCTCAGCCCTGAACCCTAAACCCTAGACCCCAAAACTCCAGCCCCAGACTCCAGAGATGCCGGTGCTTCTGCGATGGCAGAAACCAGCTTCTGAAGGTTGAAGTTCATGGCCACCTACTACCCGGTTTAGGTTTTAGGCACCTACTGTGGGGTCCCTTCGGAGTAGGGTTTGGGGTTCAGAGCTACTGTAGGGTCGATTCCATATCATGTGGGGCCTAGGGTTTAGGGCTTAGTAAGGTTCATCGCTCACCTGAGTAGTCTTGTTTGGTGGCTGAGCTGATTATAACCCTCTTACAGCATGTGATGGCCCGAAAGAAAAACTGACTCAAAATTGGACACATAAATATGCCTATTTTCACTACTACTACTCAACAGGGAGGTTTAAATCAGTGTTCAGCGCTTTATGATCTAGGGCTGGGATCCAAAATCATACCATAGGGCGTTGGGCTTTAGGGGTTCTTGATTCAAGGTCTAAGTTCAGCGAGTCAGGTGCAGGCTCCAAAGTCCCAACAAAGACGCCGCAAGATCCCCTCAAAACCTGCATGAGCTGCAGCCGCTGTTCCACGCATAAGTAATGGACGTTGGTTCTTCTTCGGGAATATACTAGGTTATTAGGGACTATGCTAAACTACCAGATGGACCCCTGAATGGTCCCTTGGTGGGGCTACTATTGAACTCTAAGCCGGCAAGCCGCTACCCCAACCCCTTAACCCTGTATGTGGATATGAATATAGCCATTTACAGGATCAGCAAGGGCCCCATCCGAATTCAAATAGAAACTGGAAAGCACAACGATCCCATTACAACTGTGCAGGACTATTACGAAACACAGGGGCCTATACGGGTGACTATGATGGTAATTCTAGGGCCTAGAGGACAGTATCTGGCTCAACTAGGGCCACCTGTCGCAGTGGAATCGCCCTATAGAACTGCTTCCCCCGGCTCAACAGAGCAGAGCCTGCGCACAGCTTTGGGTTTAGGGTTTAGGACGTCTTAGGACTTCGGCCCTTGAAACCATACCTTCAAGTTCTTCTGGGGCTGCAGACTTGTTGGCTCTTTCACCCTAGTCAAGCCCATCACCCTAAAACCTCCAGCAAGACTGTTAACTTCAAGGGTATAAAGAAAGCCCTGAGCACTAAAGAAAGCCCTGAGCACTAAAGCCCTAAACCCCTGCGTTTGAGTCCTTGACAGACTTTGAAGCCAAAACCCATAGACCCAAAACTTCCCTCTTCATGGACAAGTGGCGATGACCACCAGGAAGCCTGGGCCGTACATGGGAGAGTGGTGAGAGACTAAAAATGAAACATGGCCCCTCGGTACATGAGTCCTCTAAGAAATCTGGCACCCTATGCTGCTAGGCGTCGAGTATCTATGGCTTTTCCAAGAATGACCTTTTTGGTTTATGTTGGGTTTTAATTCCTCGCAAAGGTTAAAGGTTATCCACTGGGAAGATAGGTAGTGCTGTTGGATGATGTATAGGAATCCTGAAGTAGGGGTACTGGTTCTTAGTAGGGAATATACCCTTTGTGTATTCCCTATAGATTAAAGGCCCATATTCCTACTAAGGCTCCTGAAGAAGGGGGATCTACTTTCCTCATCATAAGTTCTCTACATCTACCAAGGCGAATCCTTTGCTGATTACCATCGCATGGTCACTCTCCAACCATCGTGAAATGCAGGTGCTCGAACATTAGCGCCCAAAAAAAAAAAAAAAAGATGCAAGCTATCCACCGCAGAGTCGACCCGACCGAGCAACAAAGAGAGTGCAGGATATACCGGCTAAGCTGATATCCCGAACACGTGGCTGTCGTTGTGCAGGCCACCTGTCAGTGTTTGGCACTTTTGCTGTTTTGAGTTTGAAGCATCGCAAGATTGGAGCTTCTGTCGAGTGTGCTATGTATGTCTGGGCAGCACCTTCGTTGAGGAGAGGGTCCCAGCTATAGCTCTAAGGAAAAGGGTTACTGCTTCAGAGGTACTTTTCCCTAGCGTTCGAAGAGACAATATTGGTAGCTTTGCCTGTTGCACATACCGGACCCATTAGCACCCCACCAATTTTAACTGGAAAACATTGATTGTACTGAAAAAATGAATCTGGGACACAAACCTTGTTCTGCCTAGGAGGAGTGAGCTACGGGGCTTAGTGCACGAGCGGTGCAAGACCTTATGCACTCAAGGTCTGGGCGTTCTGGTAGAAAAGTGAACAAAGGTCATGCAAGATGTTGGCCATCAACTATGTGAGGGTTGAAGGGCATCCTGAATGCTGAGGTCTCTTCTCCTCAACATGGGGACAAACCCTTAGCGCCTGAATGAGGAGCGTTCCAATGTGCCAAGAAAACTACAAACAAAAGTCAGAGAACCTAAAAAGACTCAGGAATTTCAGAATGATCGAATCACCACAGTTGGGATTGCAAAGTGGTTGTCTACAGGAACGAAGGAGAAAAAGAACAAGCTGCTAGTAGAAGATGCCTCCTCAACAATTGAATTAGGTCTTAGGGTTTAGGGTTAGTTTAGGGTTTCAATAATCCCCCTCCCAGACCCCCAAACGAATCTAAAAATTAGATCCCTAGACTAATTTTTTCGATCCTCCCAGAGGTCCGTGAACCCACAGGAATTATTTCCTACTAAGGATCTGGCCCGATGATTTTTTAGCCGAGGAGGCCTATAGAGACCTCATACCCACCTGGCAACTACCCCTTGAATAAAATGAGGGTGATTTCTGGTGTGTCACGGAGACATCTTTGGACCAGGCGCTTTATTTCAAGTACTGCAGCGCTTGGTTGTTATCATGATGAAATACGCGACATTTAATGGAGATGCAACCCCTGCATCACGTTAACAACCCCCAGGCTTTCCTTTATCAACTGCGGCGCATTCTCAACCGTGAGTCCTCAAACTCTAAACACTTACACTCCTAAACCATAAAAACTCAGAGATGTCCCTCCGACCTGGAACACACCTAAGTAGAAGGAGATGATCGAAACGGCCTGATGCTGCAGGGTTTAGGATTGGGGTTAGGGTTTATGGGGTGGGGGCGTGACTCATATGATGTTTAAGGGGTACAGAGAACCTGAAGTTCGGTAAGAAGCGTCAACATACACAACTGGATCCTGAGATTTGGGAAGTACTTCCCATTACCCTAAACAGAAAAAGGGAACCTGCCTGCAGATATCCAAATACATCAGGCAAGCCCTAGGAAAGAAGACACATGGGATACCTAACTTGGATCCAGATTCGGGAACAGGCTCAACAGACACAATCTGTTGCGGTGAGATAGGGTTCCACCATAGTACAAGGTAGCTGCCACAACCTTAATGGTTCAGCAGGGAACAACAGAATATGATCCCTACATGATCCCTATACAATATCTCCCCTCATTGACTACTCAGAAGCAGTAAGCAAAGGAACATGCTGAAGTCTGATAAGGACTTCGGACTGGTCCTCGCCTCTGGGATATCCACCCTATGACGGTCTAGAGCTGGGCAGTGACGACATTGCCCTGATTTCTCTGCAAGGGGGAATACATCCTGTGCTGATCCGAGGTGTTTTCCTCTGCGGTTAAAAATCACGTATTATGCAAATCATCCAAAACTACGAGACCTTTGCAAAGGCATGATCTCACTTCCGATTTATGCTCTGGTTAAAACAAATAACTGGCCCTTTAAGGACCGCGGATGCACGAGGATTGCACCACATTCCTGTAGAATGCTCCAGCCAAGACAGAGACTTCATCTTACTGCATAATTATTTGGGAGTACAGAATTGGTGTTTGAAATCTAAACCCTTTTTGCAGGAGGTTTCTCGCACCGCCCCACTCCAGGCTCCAGCTGCGACGCTAAACCCTAAACCCTCTAGTGCTTTCCCACTGAGCGACCACGGCGAAGCGGATTTCGGACACGTCTAAGCTGCTTCTCAACACCTCCGCGCCAGGGTGCTCCAAGCTTGTTGCGCGTAACCCCCTGTACCTAAGGTTGGAAATATGGGCCCTAATATGGGGGCCCTTATGCGTTTTAGCGAAATTCTAGGAACCCTTCAAAGTACACATAGGGTATATAGTAGGTATATAAGGCGGATCCCAAGGCTCCGGGCCCATACTAAGGGCCAAGGGCTTCAACCTTACACTTTAAAGATGTTGTAGGGAAAATACTGACAAACAGAACAGTGCATATGAGCCATAGTCTACACTCCCAGTATCCTCGTCAATATCCCCCTATACTAGTCCCCTATATAGTTCCCTAAATAACCCCCTTTTAAGGTGCTTAGATTATAGCTCATACAGAGAGACATACAGAGTTAAGGGTTTGCGGATTTCCGGCTGCGGGGCTTGGCGTTTAGGCCTGTCCTAGATCTCCCAAATACCAAGAAGACCAGCCTGTCTACCATTTTGGGGGTTTAGGGTGTAGGGCTTAGGGGTTTTGATGTGAAAGGCCATCATTTCTTCTTGGGCGGTTGAAGTAGGGCTCTACGCGGACTGTATGTGATGTTCAGGAGTATTTTCGTGGTTCTGTGAAAGTCGGAGCTTCGACGCAGCTGTGCGGAGACCACTGCTGCTGGTGCCTTGTGAAGAAATGAAAGTTTTACATTTCCATTGCTTACTGGCTCCAAGTAGACTCGAACAATGTCGAACAAAGGTCCAGGAACCCTCCCTGAAACGTGTAAACCTTTACAGGGGGTACCACTAAGCACTATTGTAGGTACAGTCAAGCCCTTTTAACTCCATATTCAGGGGCTATTGCTGTAGTGAGGATCGACCTAACCTTCCACTTCACCTTGCATTTTCTGGTCCATTGGGTTCTCCACCGTTCTAAGTACTTAGTAAGCCCCCACACTAACACTAGATCCTAAGTCCTGCATTACCCCTCTCTCTATGCTTTTAAAGGGACACCCATCTAAAAATACAAAAATCCCAGACTTGACGCTTGGCATCTAGAACCTACTTGAAGGATCGTGAGGACTTAATAAGTTTAGTACGTATACATGTTGCCTCTCTTAGCCAAGTACAATCAAAACTTGTCAAGATTTGCTGGGAACCCCTTTAGAACCCATGTGTCCTTGTTCTAGTGGGGCCGTAGACTATCAGGCCTTGTCATTATTTCTGCCGTTGCAGGCTCAAGGGAAGGGTGGATTCAACGCACATCTGTGATGGTCTCACTTGTGCTTTGCAAGCATCTTCCACCCTAAGCCCTGAACCCTAAACTCACACACTGCATTTGCAACTTCAGCCGTCCAGGCATGGAAGCTCCAACTTCAGTAGTGGCCTTGGGGTATCTCAAGAAAAGCCTCAAAATGACAATATGTTTTGGAATCGACTAGCCCTTGTACTAACACTGGCGCTTCAACTTAGGCAACAAGCTCGGCTCAAACAACTTACTGCGCCCCCGAATCATTAAGCCAAGCAACGCCGTATTTCATTTGATAGGAGGTGTGACTAGTACTGTATGAACCCACAGCTTCTGACCATGCTTTCACAAGAAGACTGTCTACCTTATCTTAGCCCAGAAACCTACAACCCTACCCCCTCCCCCAACAGGGAAAACCCAAATAGGCCTCATAAAGCCTACTGCACTTTTCGAAAAAATGCTCCCTGTAGGGTTACATGTTACGTCTGGGGAGGGCAGAAAAAACTTGAACAACTTTCCAATATCAACGCAAGCCGTGACGACCACGGAAAAAAACAAATGAGCAATAATCTAAACTCGTAGTATCCCCATAATTAACCCTATAATACTTCCCTACATAATCCCCTATAGAACCTGTAACAACCCTTCTAAGGAGTTTAGACTATAGCTCCGGGTGCCTTCCAGCCCAAAGACAGCAAAAGGAATGTCATGAGCTCTAAGATGTTCTGAACCTCCAGGGGTGTCTGATAATGAAGGTTCCCTAGGGGTTTAGGGTTTAGGGTTTCCTCATATATCAGGCTACGTACTACGTACTATATGCTATATTGGAGTGGGGGAGGAAAATTCTAGGGGTGTTATTATGGTGTCATCAGGTGTTCTGTCTCAGTCAGGTTGACCGAACGAGGGGTCTGGTCGTAGGGCTTAGGGTTTATGGGGAACACTGCCACGACAACCCACTACTACACGCCCAAGTTCTCAAATCCCGGCAGTGCTGACCAGAAGCTTCAGAATGGCTGGGGGCAAGGAGGAGGTTCTTCAAACATAAGCTTCTTCTGGTAGTTCAACAAAGGGCTCTCCCAACTAGTCTAAACTCCTAGTATTCCCCTTTTATAGTCCCCTATATAATCTCTTCTAGAACCCCCTTTAAGGAGTTTAGATTCTAGCTCATTTGGGGTGAGGTCGGGTGAGGTCATTGTATTTTGCCCTTTGGTAAGCTCCACCTTGGAAAGCAGCTTCCACGTGATGTCCTCAGGTGGCAGGGCTTAGGGGTTTTAGGGTTTATGGTAGGTCCTCAGGTTGCAGTTTCCAGACATAGGGATTGTACAGGGATTATGTAGGGCTATGTTGGAGGATGGAAAAGAAAATGGGAACCATTTAGGGTTTAGGCTTTAGAGGCATTACGGCATTACGCCAGTAATGGAGAATCAAATTGAAAACGAAGTGGAAATTACCATGTACAGGGGTCGTAGAATGTTTCGAACTTGCGGTGGAGCTGTTGCGCTGAATGTTCCAGAGGGCGGGTTTGGAGGGCTCAGGCTTATGGAGTTGTTGGATCGTAGGGAGTCCCTGCTCCTTTGTTGAAAGAAATATTGGAACTGAGCCCTGAAACCCTAAACCCAAGACCCCGACTAAATGTTCGCAACGGGCGTGCCGTTTTGCCTGGAAGTGCCTCACAGGCCAAGCCAAACACAGAACCCAATACGTCGCCTTACACTCCTGTGGGCTCAATGACCTGCAGCGGATGGAGGAGATCTTGCACCTAGGGTCTCCAGACGACTGCAATCATTGGGGTATACGTATGTTAGGCGGCAGACAGTTTCCTCCATCCACACCATGGTTCGACCTAAGCCCTTTTTCCCAAACCATACCCCCCATGTTAGCGCTGCTGGCCGACTACAACGGAGGACTCCACTCCGGTGGTGGCCACGATGTGGATGTCCAGCCAGCGTAGCCTGGGCTGCTTGTCCACTGCCAGCATGGGCCTGTATAGAATTTTAGTCATACCGCTTTGGCAACATGACCCTTAATACTCCTGTCGTCTGCGTTGTAAGTCACTGCAGCTACCATTCTGAGCAGCTGTACTACTGTGATAACTAATGGGCACATGAGGCAGAAAGCACTACTTAGGCATTTCTGTCTGCAAATAATCGGCTGTGTGCTTGAATGCGAGGAACACTGTCTTTGCATCCGGATGGCATTACGTCTGCTGGATAAGGTTAGGGAATCCCCAACTCCACATTGTCCCATCACTTCTCAGAACATCAACAAAACTGAAACTCACAAATTGCTGACCAGCTATGTTATGCGCCAAAATTACAGTGCCCGAGGATTCAAGAAGACAAGGAGCATGACACAGGCACATTGCGAGGGATGACAAGCCATTGCATGAAATAGGACTCATTCCCAACTACTATGCAAAACAGATAAAAGGTTCAGTCAGTCAAGCAGCCAGATCAACATGTATCTGGAAGCCCCCATCCAAAAGCGGACCGAGAAGTCAGAAAAATCTACCACTACCACCGCATCCCAGGCCCCACTACTCCACAATTTCAGTGTCAGGGAGACTTAGTAACAATGGCAAGATGAAAACTACCATACTATTTAGCGTTTAGGGTTTAGGGTGAGTAGGTGGATGACTGGGGCTGTAACATGGCTTATATGGGTCAAAAGTAGGCTGACTAAGTCCTCCCGACCCTCCAAGCAGGTAATGTAAGGGCCTCCAAAAAAGATCCACGTATTGACACCCACTTTTCCCTACTTATACTTAAGGAGAAGTGGGGGAGCTAGTCATCAATGTTTGGCGTCTAGGTTTAAACTCCCATAAACAACCCCATACTTTGGTACCTAGATTGACTCCTCCGTCTCCCTTTGAGGTCTAAGCCTTGACCTCTTAAACCTGAACCTTGAACCTTTTTGGAGCCTCTGAATCCTAAAACCTACAACCCGTTGTAATCCGACACTGTCGGCATGTCCCAAGACCGCTCGATCCAAGTCGCAGAAGCGAGACGCCCCGAAGGAAAATCACTGACAGAGCCAGGCAATGCCTTGACGAATACAGGATGATAGGTCTAAGGCTCAGGGTTACTAGGGTCCCTTCCAAGGGGAGGATGTAGGGGGTAAAGAGGGATGTATCGGGGAACGGAACAGACATGGAAACCACTGTATCATCCTGGGTCGTACTTTAACAGCCTTCATGACTAGGTTTCCTTATACAACAATACGGAAACGGAAACATGTAGTTGTCCCAAAGTGCAAGCTAGTAGGTTTAGTTTTGGGATTTAAGGGCTTATAGACAGGAATATGAGGATTCAGCGCACAATCCAGGTTTGGGGCCTGGAGTTTAAAGGTTTAAGGGTTTTTTTAAGGGTTTAGGGTTAAGGGCTTACAGCTTGCTGTGATACGGCGCCAAAGCAGAGGTTGTTCTTGTTTTTGCCACAATGGCCTCAAGCGCATAGTACTGTGCGACATTCTGCTATGGCCTGACAGTGGCTGGCCCACACCCTTCGAGGCGGCCAAGCCACCCAAACCTCTCCCCGTAAGGGTTTAGCATCTAAACTCAGTTAGGTCCGTCTTGGTCTCGGTCGACAACACAATACCATCTCATCCGCTAGCATCTGTGAATGACCTGAGTTGTGAGAGGGAGGCCCTTGATCTGCCCGGGTGAAGCAAGGCACCGGCCCCCCAGCAAACGACACTGCAAAAACAGCCAGGGCGCCCAGAACGGATGAGGGTTTTCACTCTATTGAGGTGACCAACCTGTCGCCAGTGGAGGCCAGGGGCATAAGTGCGCCCACCATCGTAGGTGCGCAGTGAAAGTCTGAGTTTAGGGATTAGGGATTAGCAATCAGGGTTTAGGGCTGCAAGTCCTGGGTTTGAATTTCATGCAACCCCTTAGTGGGCCGTCTTGTGGAATAACAGCTCGCTTTGCAGGACCGCTTTCCATGCTCAACACTTGCGGTACTGTCACCCCTCCAAGACCTCAAAAATCGCTTCCCCCTAACAGTGAACCAGGTGCCCCCTCCGTAATATTAAATGATCCGGGCCCCGATTGCTTAGATATTACGAGGCTTGTTCATTGCAAGAATTAGCTAGGCTGACTTCAAAGTCCATTTAAACTCCATGGAACCTCAACTATTACTTTGTCTAGAATGAGCTAGTAAATGACATTAACTACTAATATCCTAAACCCTAAACCCCCAAATCCTAAACCCCAAAACCCTACACCCTAAACCGCAACCATCCGGAGTTTACTCAAACTACGGTTTGCCACAGCGAGGGCTAAGAATAAAACAAACCTGTGCAGCATTGACTTGAACAACCCCAAGGGTTAAGGATTTAGGGTTGTGGGTTTAGGACATAGGGTTTACAGTACTAAACTCATGCACTAAACTTGCAAAGCCTCCTAAGTCCGGAGTCTTAAGACATACTATCTAAATGTACAACTTCATTTTGCCTGTTGGGCTTAAGCATTAGAAACCATGTAATCTGTTCAACAATAACCTAGCATAGCCTCGTACTGTACCAACTTCCGGGAAGTTTCCTGATGCCCTAGACCCTTAATCATAAACCCTAGACCGCGCTGATGGGCCCTACACCCTAAAAGGAACCCCAAGTCTAAACCTCGACCCCTTCAACCTAATCCCTGAAGCTTACAACCTAAGCCTCAATGTGATCCCGGGTAGCCGGACAGTAACCCCAGTCATCTCCATTGATCACCTTTTGCAAAGTCCCCCTATAGAACCCCTAAACCCTAAACCCTCTATAGAATCCCATTTTCCAGCTGACTGTCCTTGACCTGATTCTTCAGTTTATACAACCCCGAAACCCCAAACCCGCATCCAAGATCCTTATGCCTTGACGCTAAACCTTAAATCTCCAGGCGCTATGGGTTTAGGGTTTAGGTTTTAGGGTTTCATGTTTAGGGGCGAACCTTGGGTTCGGCCCCCGCTCCCACTAATACTGACCACTAGGGTAATGATGAAGATAATAAACTTCCCATACATGATAGTTTCCCTAAACAGGGGGACCGCCATAAAGACCCCAATGCATTGTAATCCTTATTATGGCAGCCCACCAAAAAGAGTTGCCCCTAAGTTAGGAAACCCGGCCCTTAACAATAAGCCCTACAGAACCCCCATAACTTCAGTACTGCCCCCCCCTGAGTAACAGTTGGATAAGAATTACACGATGGTTATATATAGCCCTGAATAGGACCCCTAATATAGACTGTTAGTGGATGGGGCAGTACCCAACCCGTAACCCCTTTGACCCTTAACTCTTTCAAGGAGCAGGGCGTTTCGACCGCTTCTGGGCCGGGTGACCACACATAGCGCAGTAAAGATCGCCGTCATCTGGGATGTTTAGGTTGGGACTTTCAGGGCTTCGGGATTTAGGATCCAGGATTCAAGGTGGGTTTGAGGTTTAGGGATTCAAGTTTACGACTTTTGTTGAGGGGTGTTTGGATCAAAATAAAAGGTTCATTTGGCTTCATTGGCTTTGCTGGCTGAGGTCCTGGGGAGTCGGATCTTCTCGCAAATCTCGAAACACCCCGCCCCCAATTTATGCAATGTTCCAATGATTTATAATGTAATGTAACTGGAACATCTGATGTCAGGCGGGGTCGGGCGGGTTTCAGTTTTAGGGGGAGGGGATTATGAAGGGTCATTGGGGTGAACGGGCCTCCGCACAAGCCTTGCTGAGGGCTCTCAAAACTGCAAACTCCATTTTGAGG